TGTAACCAGTCTTGTGATTGGTTTTTGACAAATTCTGAACAGGCCACGCTTCCAGCTGTGCCGTGCATTCAGGCAAACCGTTAATTATTCATAAATAGAGTCAATTTGTGTAGTTTTCTTGATTTATTCTGCAGATATCGGTAAAATGTAGGTAGGGCTTTGGCAATATTTGAAAGAGCAACTAATATTCTTCAACCTGGTATTTTTTTTAAATTTTATTTGTCATTCTATTTTAAATGTTTTTTTGTGTTTAAAAAATGTGAGCTGGCTGGAGCCTTCATCCCTTGTCTATTTCTTACTCTAGATACCAGCCGATACCCCCCCCCCCTCATGCGTACAGTTTATCATAGTTCCTGGGCTCCCTGTGGTCACAGACTAGCTGTCTCTCATCTTTGTATTGCCTCAAATCGTTGCTAAAAGTTTGGTGTCTTCTGATAATGGTCAGTGGCTCAATTGATTGCCGGATGTAATGGCATTTATGTTTGTGTACCCCCCCCCCCTCACCAATGTATGTAAGTAATAACTTTATTGTTATCGAATCTCTGTTGAGATATAGGGCAGGAGTCCAGAAGACGTACCTACACTTTATGCAATTTTTTTTTTAATTATGCTAATTTATTCATGACGTAGCAGTTTCTGTGCTCATGAATATTCATTAATTTGTGGGTCAATACATTCTAAAAGGGGCGATATATTATTTTTGGGGGAAGAGTTAGAGGATTTAAGTTCTATTTATAGGAGCACTGTTCTCACTAGCATTCAAAAATTAGCATTATTGCAAATTAGTGTTTGCGAGAAAAGACATGGGAATTGAATTCGGGTCCTCTTGATCACTGACCCACAAGACCACGATGGATTGACTGGTTGTGTTTGCATTTGATGAGACTATATAGTGTGTATATATATAAAATACAACAAATTTCTATTATTGAGTTACAATTGCCCAAAAAATTGACAATTTTGTGTTTTTACTTGTGTAATCTATATGCGTGCCATAACCCGTTAGTGTACATTTTGCCAATTGGGTGTTTGCCATTTGCGTTGCCCATACCTGACCCGACCCTTAACCCTAATGCCAAGACACGTTCCTGTTAATAATTCCGTTGCCCATACCTGACCCGACCCTTACCCCTAATGCCAAGACACGTTCCTGTTAATAATTCCGTTGCCCATACCTGACCCGACCCTAAACCCCTAATGCCAAGACACGATTCCTGTTAATAATTCCGTT